CAAAAATGGCCCAAGCACAAGAATTGCACTATAACATTGCTGTCTCTTATACACATCTAGATTTGTATAAGAGACAGGGGTACTAGCTGTTGTTGTTGTAGATAATATACTAACATTTAATAACATCCAAGAAGGTCACAGTTAGTTACACAGTGACGTACATCACATAAGTCCGTGAAATTTCATAGACCTACCGTAGGTAAACATAGAAAGAGCAATAATAGTAAAACTCGAGCGTCACGACATTGCGAAGTGTCTGCTCTTGTTCCTCGTATCGTACTCACCCGAGTCAATCCGAGATGGCCCGAGTGAAGTTTCATGCAAATGTTTCGTACGGAAAAAAAAAAATCGCGGCCAGGGTTGAATTCGAGTCCAAGTAAGCAGCGGGTACTGCAGTGTTGAAAGTGATTAATACATGTCGTGATGGAATAATAGACAATAACTTGATTTGCGTCACACTGCAGTACCTGCTCTGCTTACTTGGACTCGAATTCAACCCTGGACATCAGGCGCAAGCTCGGTGGTCTAGAGGTATGATGCAAGGCTAGTGATCTGGAGATCGTGGGTTCGAGTCTCACCCGAGAACAACTTGCGATTTTTTCGCAGTTGTTTTCAAATGTACTAAGTATTCGGTACGGTACATTTCCACGTCAGGTAGGGCAAAATTACACCAATACATGTTCCTCTTGACGCAAATCCAGTAATTGTCTATTATTCCACGACACGACAATAACAATTACTTTCTAGATATACATAATAATAGTGATGGTGACGATGTGGATGATGATTTGATTTCTGTATATATAATTGATTTATACACACACACATATATATATATATATATATATATATATATATACATATATACATGATTTGATTTCTGTTTATATAATAATTGATACATACATATATATATATATATATGTCTAATTCAAATGTAATTACTTTCTAGATATACATAATAATAGTGATGATGACGATGTGGATGAAAAATGTCAATATGTAAGTAATACTGTATAAAGATAAATCAAGTAGAGGCATGTAAATATAAACTATGTATAAAAATATATATAAAATCATAGTATATGAACATACCTTCACTAGTTTACTGAAAGACAAAATTGGAAAAATCAAACAATTAAGCCGACAAGACCCTGTACTGAGACACCTCAACCATGATTCAGACTCCATTCTATTCGACTGCTTCCCATCATGGATTAGTCAACATAAAAATAACCTGTCATCGCCTACCAATATCGCCAACTTATCAACTTATGAACTCACTGTAAACCAAAAAATACTACTACAAAAGGGGCTCACATTCTGCCCCATAAAGAAACTGGACGCCATCAACATGTGTTCCGACATCAACGAATTCACACGTAAAGTCAGAATTAAAGAGTTTTTCAAGGACAATCCGCAAACGTTACCCACGAGTATGAAAAACGTTAACACTGTAGATAGACTTTGGACATCGGCTAATAACAGAAACGTACACATAGACAGCTTTGTTAACGCTGCCAAGGCACATTTGAATATGTTCATTCAAGAAAACGACGGCAAACGTGAAGACCGCGACAATTTGACGAAAGGCGAACGCTACTCTATCAAACAGTTAAAACGCAACAACGATATCACAATAAAACCAGCAGATAAGGGTGGTTCTATTACCATTATGGACACTAATGATTACATCTCTGAAGCCGAATCTCAACTATCTAACGAACAATTTTATAAATCACTACCCAAGGATCCCACTAAATCCTTCAAGAGAGAAGTCAAGCATTTGTTAGCCGGATTAGGAGACGACATCAAGAAGGCTACACAAAATTTAATCCCGAATGAACCCAAACCGGGCACTTTTTATTGTCTACCTAAATTGCACAAACTACCCAAGCTTATCTCTGAGGCTACCAAGACAAACCCTGAGCCGATAGGATTAGACACTCTTTCAACCCCGACGAAAATCTACGACCTTGCTAAATCACTACATATTACTCCACCAGGTAGATCGATCATTTCAGGAAGAGGGACACTCACTGAACATCTATCAGGTTATATCGACTCTATCTTGAACCCGCTTCTTATTAACATTCCGAGCTTCACGCAAGATTCCACCCATTTCCTCAGGAAACTCAGTAATGTACAACAACTCAATTCTGACGCGCTACTAGTGACTTTGGACGTTACATCACTATACTCAAACATCCCTCATGAAGAAGGTGTAGCTGCATGTACTAAGTTCCTTAATCGGTTTCATTCTTATGAGACAACTTCGGATATTTGCTCAATCATCGAATTTATCTTGAAACATAACAATTTTATGTTCAATGAAAAACATTTCCTTCAAACCAAAGGAACGGCAATGGGAACAAGAATGGCGCCAAGCTACGCCAATATTGTTATGGCAGACCTCGAAGATCGTATATTATCCAACTACCACCTCAAACCGACATTCTACACCCGATACATCGATGATATTTTTCTCATATGGGAACATGGTCTAGATTCTCTGAAACAGTTTGATACGTATATCAATAATATTCACCCCAGCATAAAGTTCACACTAGAGATGTCTCGCACTGAGATACCATTTCTCGACATCACAACGATGCTCCATAACGGCGATCTATCCACGACTATCTACTCTAAACCAACGGATAATCACAAATACTTAGACTATTTCAGTTTTCATCCTATGAACTTAAAACGATCCATTGTTTACAGTCAAGTTCTCCGTCTCAAAAGAATTTGCTCAGAGCCCACTGATTATGCTACCAAAGTATCGTCTCTCGCATCACAGTTCATAAAATGTAGATACCCTCTTTCCGTCATTAAATCGGCCATAACTAAAGCATCGCACCGACCAAGAACCGACCTTCTTAAATACAATGCCAAATCACACTCAGATCGCATACCGCTCATATTAGACTATAGCCCTCGTACAAGACCACTCACGAATGCGATTAAGACGGACTTTGAAACATTGAAAAAAGACCCATCCATAAAGGCTGCTTTCAGAACCCACCGATAATCGCACGTAGACAGCCACCCAACCTCAAGTCGCTTTTAACGTCTACTCAACTACCTACTACCGATAACACACCGAAGAAGGGGAACATGCCTTGTGGTAAAGCAAGATGCCAACTATGCAATATTATCAACATTAAACAAACATTCAAAGTACCTGGCACCAACTTCATTATCCACCCACCCAATGAGGACTGTTGTGCACATAATGTATTATACCTAATTTATTGTACCAAATGCAATAACGGTAATTATGTGGGAGAAACCGGTGCTACATTCAGATCCAGGTTTAATAACCATAAAACTACCATTAGAAATAAGGACTCTAATCACACTGTATCTTTGCATTTCAATTCTCTTGACCATGATATTAACGATATGCGCTTCCTTATAATACGCTCCAATTTCAAATCCACTAAGGACAGATGGTGCGAGGAAACCAAATGGATTTATCGCTTAAAAACCCATATTAACGGCCTTAACAAAGATAGGGGCATTGTTCACGACTATGCTTTTGCGAAAAGTTCAACCTAATAGAACACTTTTAGTTATAACTTTGTTAGTTTCCGTACTCCTAATGTTATGTTGCCCCTCGTGGGGGATTACTATGATTCTATATATATTTTTTATACATAGTTTATATTTACATGCCTCTACTTGATTTATCTTTATATAGTATTACTTACATATTGACATTTTTTATCCTTTAGTACATCCTTCTTACTACACTTAGTAAGATGCTCATTACATATGCTCCATAATATTGTTTATCTTAATTAAGCCTATTGAACGAAATAACTATTTTATCACCTTCTATTTTATAATTACCCAGCCTCTATTGTATAATTACTAAGCCCTTTGCAATGTGAATCAGTTACGCTGATGAAGTCCTTAGGATAAGGACGAGATATTCGTTATAATAAAATATATTTATGTTCCGAAACACGTCAATTCATCTTTTATTGTTTGTCTCCGACACAGTATCTTTTATAATTAGTGGAACATATGTGCAACACATGCCTATGCCGTTTATATATATATATATATATATATATGGTTAATGGTTAATGGTTATTAATTTATAGAGCGCAAAATACAAAAAGTCTCTAAGCGCTATCAGGCAAGTGTAAAGATGGAACGGAAACCAAAACCACAAAATAAAAAGAAGTGAAATTTGAATACCATGCCAGCACCCAAACCGAAGTATGGGGGTACGCCCTCATCGCTGGCTAGGGTTCAATCTAATTGAACTACAGTCAGCACCTGTTGAGTCTCGGCCATCTCGGATTCGGGCGCCTCCTATCCTAAAGCTACAAAAGCTAGCTGGCATGGAAATAGAAAAAAATAAATAAATTAAAGGGAGGATAAGTGGGTCTTAAGTCGTTCTTTGAAAATGGTGACAGAAGGTGACTCACGAATAAATAAAGGTAACAAGTTCCACAACTTGGGCCCAGCAACCATAAACGATCGCTCCCCACAAGACTTTAACCGAAAGGATGGACAATAAAGATTGGTTGCTGTCTCTTATACACATCTAGATGTGTATAAGAGACAGGTATAAGCCTAAAAAACCAAAATATAGTCACTAAATACAAGCAAGTGCACAGTAATAATTAAAGAACAGGACTGAATGTTTGTAGTTAGAATTCTTCACACAGTGAAAGTTTCAAACTGGTGAACTATTTTTTTGAAACTCCTCAATAGTACAGTATACCAACTGCTCAGGTTCATGAACCTTTTTGGTGTAATAAAATTTATAACAAAACTAAACAATATGCTATTTTGAAAATCCTGTTTTAAAATGTTGCCTAAAGTAATCTCAGAATCAAAAGCCTAAAAGTGCTGACTGCAAAAAACGTCCTTGAAACTGCAAGAATCGTGTTTTCAAATTGAATACATCACCGGAGCCAAACACATAGAAGTTGGACGTGCATCTGTATTTTGAATAGTGGTGTATATATATATATACTTAGTATATATATATATATATATTAGTGTATATATATAAATATATATATAATGTTGTGTACGTATATATATATATATAATATAATATAATATATTAAATATGGTGAAACATGTGCAACATAGTTTTAGCCATGTATGTATTTAAGCAACGAAGTCTACCATAATTTAGGCCTCAACTGCTTGGTATTGTAAATGCATGTGCGCATGTTTGAATGTTATTAGCTGAAATGCAGGAAGTAGGCCGAATGTGAGGATCGCATAACTCATCTATCCAAATCTCCCTATAACGATGCTGTTACTGTATATATAATGTGTGCTGCATACAACTTACTATCCGTATTTGGAACGGAAGTTTTTTCACTTGCCTATTTCCGATGCTTTGGTGATGACTTACACAAAACAGCAACCATGATTTACTTAGGTTCATGTAACAGTCATACAAAATGACTATTATAGGCCTACATGTACTTTCTCAATATTATGACAATGATTTTTAAACGCTAACCTAATGTTTGTATTTGGCAAAATAAAAATAAAAAAAATAAATAGCCTCCCTCCCTCATCAATGTTCCAGCCTAGTTAAATTATGTATTTTGATTGGGCCTCATACATATATTTTAACCTTAAGCCTATTGTTTATTTTCTTTTAATGCTCGAAAAAATTCTCTAGAAACACACTGATCAAATTCTTTATAGATTGTATTTAATTTATTTCTCCAAAACTAGGCAGGCACAAATAATGATGAAGTAGCAGCGACTACTTGAAAAAAAAAGTTTTCAGACATGTTTACGCTTCTTATAATGGATAGAACTTCCTTCCGGGTAAATGACCTTTAAACCGTCGCTGTAGAATACGGTTGCTGATAGAGCTCAAAATGAAAATCCCATCTGTTTTATTATCTTTGTGAATAGATCAATGCTTGTCTATACAGTGACAGATATGACTCAGCGATTAATCGAAACTTTAATAATCAATATAATATACGCTATTGTGTTTTACACATCATTATACACTACTATTAGGCCTGTTTTCTTATGAACATCACTCATTTTCAATCGTGCATGTTATTTGTTTTATTGGATTAGTATTTTAGTTGCAATGTGACATTTGGTTGAATAATAGGCCTATTTTAGTTCTAATGTGATATTTGGTCAAAGATAAAAACCATAATATAATATCAAAATCTGTCTTATGCTTTTTAAATGAAACATCCACAGCCCTTCACTCCTTGTGGTTGGTTGTACGTAGGTCTTGTCTTATGCACATTTATCGGAATTACCTTACTTGCCACTGAATAATGAAGCAAACTCGCTGTGGCACGTGCAATTTAACTGATTAACTATTGAATGTTTTTTGTCAATTAACAACGAGTTCCGCCATAGATCTTTCACATGTTGCACATGCTAATTTTACTGACTCCAATGCACTTTTTTTTAAATGTATGTGTATATAAATTTTCTATTAATCTACCCTTTCCTGTAGCTAAATTATTCATCCTACCCTGTATGTTTATAATTATCAATAAAGTTTTAAACTTTATTGAAGTTAATATTAAAACAATGTCAAATTTAGGGCCTATGTTATTTCAACATTGGTATATGATGTAATAAACAATACGAACAGCTGAACAAGGCCTATTGTTATTAAGCGATGATAAACCCAACATTAACCCTCTAAGGCGAGTCGATTGGCCGAGCGGTTAATAAGACAAGGAAACCGTGACATACAGCCATAATATCGGCGCTGGTTCTCGAACGACACGCTCGCTTATGGTTCCGGTGGTGGAACAAGTCTTCTCGGATAAGGACTCTAAACCGTAGGTCCAGTGTACACAATTGGCTCGTGTGCACTTTAAAGAACCCAGTACATCATTCGAGAAGAGTAGGGGGTTACCCCGGTGTACTGGTCCATCTCTAGTCCCCTGTCCGCCCACAGAAGGAGCGCTCACGACGCGGCCCATGTCAGGTATCCATCTTACCTGCGAATCCTTCTACCACACTACGTAAGCTAGATCATATACACTAGCTACGAAGGGACTCAATAAGAAGAAGAAGAAACCCTCTAATTTCAATACCCCTTTAGATCTTAATGCAAGTTTAGTCTCTTGGTTATTTTTTGTTAAGGTCTCACAAAACGACAGTGTAGAAACGTACTCACACATGCGTTTGTGGGACAACACGTGTGTTACTGAGACGCGCGCGCATTCCTAGCCCTGTTCTTATTTGGTCAGTTGTTCAGATTAGACAATCCCGAAAGGTCCATTGGAAACCAAACATCGACACCCCATATTTCCAGGTCCCAAACGTGGCATCATTTTGAAGGGCGAACACTATTTATATGATTTGTCCCTGTCTTGTTTCTTTCTACTTAAATCAGTAAAAAAAAAAAGTAATAGCATTAGAACAGTCGCTTGATTAGGCATGGGTTTTAGCATCTGAAAATCAGTTAATATGCCTAATTATTTCATATTATCATGAAGAAAGTTTTTAGCATGGTACCTTATCAAATCATTATAATAATATATATTTCGAATGTGTAACTCTATAGTGATAAGAAAAACAAGCGTTTGTTTAGCAAGGAGGATCATCCATAGTTAGGCCTATATACACACACACACACACACACTGTACACAGTAATTTAATACCGGAGTCTTCATTAAATAACAAAATCATAAAGACACAAATATTTAAGTGGCATAATTAGTTTCTTTGGAAACATTCAACTGTCAACCAGCATTTAGTGAAAACAATGAAAATATATTATTGTACTGTATACCGTACTGAATCTTAATTAAATATCATCGGATATTCAGAGAAAAGGCCTCAAAACTGGCAGCCATGTGACAAACCTACATATTGCGTGGATGCGATAGGCTATTTTATGTACTTAGTTTAGGATGTGATATGTGGACGATTGAGGCGTGTTTTACGGCTTTCTACTTGCCAATCAGTTTAGAAGCCACAGAAATCATTTTATGATGTGATGTTTGTTTGGTGGATAATAATCTATGGTGGTTTCTGTAGCAAATTATTTGGTTCTTATGCTGTAAATAAAGCAATACGAACCTTTGCAGTCGTACATGCATGTGGATCCGTGCGTCTGTGACGCTTAAGTCATCAAAGTTGTCGAAATGTGTAAACAAGTGTTTGTATATATTTTAAATATGTAAAAATGTATATCTTATTTGAAAATGTAAAATTATATATAAAAATTCCCGTAACTACAAAAAATTTACAGATTTTCTAATGAGACAAAGTATTGAATAACTTTCATCGTAACATTGGCATTCGTTAACGACCAAATTGTTTTTGTAATAAAAGAATGAAGGAAAGAAGAGCAATCTATTATACAGGGGTTTCAAGCGTCTTCTCAGATTGCTCAAAACTGGAGAGACGCTAAAGAGACTGTTGTTTTCAACATCTTACGTGTACAGTATCTTTTACTGTCTCTTACATCACTCACTCACTCACTCACTCCGTTGTCTGCTGACGGACTCCAATGATGGCCGTCCACAATCTCCTGTCCTGCATGAAAGTCTCAATCTTACTGGTGGTAAAGCCGGTGTCTTGATGAAGCATATCCACGTAAGACTTGGTTGGTCGTCCAACTGACATTTGCCTTGAGTTGAGTAGATCTCCATATAACTCATTATTAGTCATATGGTCATTCCAGCTAACATCAAAAGCTTTTCTCAGCATACGAGTGCAGCAGCCATCGAATGATTTACTAATTTTGTTGGTAATAGTCCATGTTTCTGACCCATACAACAGGACACTCTCCCCTGTAGCCTGGAAAAGTTTCACCTTAATGTTCTGTGTCAACTTAGATCGCCAGATGTTGTAGAGTTTGTTGCAAGCTTTCCATGCCATTGTCTTTGTCTCTCACATAGCAAACGCTATTCACTTGTATTATCTCGTGGTCTATCATGTTATTCATGATATGTATCTGTTGTTAGCTTAAAAGGAATACAAATAATGTAATGTTTTTCCTCATGTTAGAATGATGAAATTATGCTGGTATTTAATAATTACGTAAACTCAGTGGTGATTCTAATTAACCACGATTCATTGAAGGATATTCCTTACTAACGTCTGTTGAATTATATCTTGAAAACTTTTCAGTTGCCAATTTCATTACTAATTCTATACATATTCTTCTCTCATTCAGTGATCAAGTAAAGTCCGACGATGCTGTTGATGGTTCGCAACGTAACACAGAAGACCAGAGCGAACGTATCAACGATTTACTCTGTTTGGCAACGGAAAATAATATTACGACAATTACGGATTTATCGTCTCAAAGTTTATCAATTCATCAGGATCCTAATGACGATAAAGAACGTGTCATTAATGAAAAATGCGATTCTAATGTCACAAATAATAATAATTGTACTAGCGGTGGATTATTAAGTGATGGTTTCGAGTACCCTACGGGTGGCGAAGGGGAAAAAGATGCCAGTAATAATCCAAATGATAATGATGATGATGAGACTAGTAGCGTCGAATTTGTTGATTCACAGCCATTTGAAGAGGATATCAGAAGTGCTGAAATCAAACAAAATCAGCAGTTGGTTGGTGACTTGATGGAACCAAATCAAATGCAAGGGTGTAATACCCTTGTGAATGCTACCATTACGCCATCAAACATTCCAAATAATATATGTGTCGCAGAAACCATGGTTTTAGGACAGGACTTGTGTTCGCAGAATGAATCAATGTTTTATGAAGATATTAAACAAAAATCGTCTCAAGAAGTATCCAAACCGTGGAATAATGATAGAAAAGCCTCATCTGCCCAACGTAAAAGTGCGAAAGGAGGTTATATCAACGACCTGCCTCTTGCAAATGGGTTTGAACTTGATTCACCAGGGCAGTCAAACCCCGATGAACATGGGCATTATCCAAACATTTCAGACTATAATAATATTCAACCACGAAGTTGTAATGAAGTTTTTAATTCAAATTCTTTTAATACATCGGGCAAAACATATTCTTGTAGTGAAGATAATCCTGTCGATAGTTCCAGTGTTAGCACAATAGGTTGTACAAAAGAAATTGACTATTGCACTAATGCACCGGCGGATTCTTGTTATTCAAAAACCATTGGTGCAATTAGCTCAGGTAAATCGGAATTGGACAACCAGTTGCCATTCTCTTCAAACAGGGTATTAAAAGAGACCGATTTTGCAAGTTTATGTACAACACACTCGTCTTATAATGATGGATGCTCAGTGGACAAGAATAAAAGGATTATGTGTTCGAGTTCTGCGAATGAGGTAACCGCCAATTTCTCGGACTTAAGTGCAAACACGAAAGGTGCTCTAGAGTCGAAATGTGCAGATAGTAATCAAGAAGTGAGCAAACTAGTTCCTCAGAATTCTTGCAAACAAAACGTTGAACCCTCACTTGGTAAAAGTGACTTTTTGTCTAATTCTGATGATTTGAGTGACTTGTCCGACACTGTAGCTGCGGATGACCTCTCTAGTAACTCATCTATCAGTGATTTACCTGAAGACGTTGTTACGTCTTCTTCTGCGATAGCTTTATCGAGACCAAGTAATCTGGATCTTTCTTCTGCAGCCATCATGAATAATGAAATAACACCCAGCGAGGATGTTGAACCATCGGTTATTTCTCCGTCAAAGGTTTCTGTCACATGTATCACAGAAGAGGAGACAATAACAGTGGAGGAGGTTTTTATATCACCAAATCATCATCATGCCGATAAATCGTTTTCCGATACTTTGGACAATAAGCGTAAATCCACATTGTTACCAGAAGCAACATCAAACTGCATGCGATCTTGTACACTCTCATCCACTGAACGTCTAGACTTCGATTGGAATGAACACTGTCTAAGAATGATCGTAACTGGAACACCAGAGAATTCACTCAAAGTGGCAGTAGCCGGTACACCAACATCATCAGAAAATCAAGGACGGTTACTGACAGGACGTGATAGGATATCACAATCAAATGATTTTAGCGACGCGAATGAAGATATGCAGGATGATGTTGAAACTTTGCGTTTAAAAGTTGAGAACAAAAATGAGGAAATATTGCGACTGAAAAACATCACCGAGGGTCTACGCCATCGATTGACAAAGGTTGAGCAGCAAAATATGAGACTTAGTCAAAGCAGCGATTCGTTTCTCTCTGTTCCCAGTGAAAGACCGTCTAGCTCTAGCTCCTGCTATGATAGTGTTGTTAGTTTGTCATACGAAGGTAATATAAGGTCTCCTTCTCTTGAGGAAAACTTTCTACTTAAAGAGGAAATACATCTGCTCAAATCACAGCTTGAGAGCAAATCGGACACAATAAGACGATTAAACTCAAAAACAAATGCAATGAAAGCTCGACTAATCGAAGAAGAAAAACATGTAAAAACTGACTCTGAAAACAAAAATAATGCAGGAGCAAGAAGGAAAGTTATTCGACCGGTAAAATCTGTCAATGACATATCTGTTGAAGAGAAGCCCCGAATGTTGCCGATTTGTACGTCTGGAAGCGCCAGCTCAGTGTTTGTCAATTCAACAACTGTTCCAATTAACTCGTCTCTATCTGAACAAACGTCGAAAAAGAAGAAGAAAAGAAGACTTTTTAGTTTCGGGAAGAAGAAAGATAAAAAGAAATAAACGGCTATTATTCCATTTAGGCCTATCTGTTATAATGTAAATAATGCATAATGTAATGTCTAATAAAGAAAAAAAGCTTTGAGAAGAGAGGAGTGATTAGTATTAGGCCTACAGCCCAATACTTAAATGTTTTTTATGGTATATTGAGGCAAATGTTAACGATTAGTTGCCTTGTGCTATCGTCTTGCACAACTACACTTTTGGTAGTAGACATTTAAGCTTGAATTTTAAAGAGTGGGCCGGTTAGCAAGAAGTGCTACCTGTACGTCCTAATACATAATGCTTGTTAGATTTTTTGGGGAATTCAATGGTATGTTTCCTGCTGATTATGAGTACCAATTATAATGTATCATTAGCTTAATAATACCAGATACCAATACAGTACTTAGACTTTTACATTATTCAAACTTTCTACAATAATTTTAGATTAGAATTTGTTTATGTGGGAGGAAAGAAATACATCGGAAGTGGAGGATGAACAAAGTGGGCGATGGGCAAGAAGAATGGCCGAGGAGATAAAACTATGGATGATACCGTAATTACAAGATTTGTGGGCTTACTTTACTTAAATTTCACATTTTTATAATGCAGAATGTGCGGAGTGTAAATACAGACTAAAGGCCAACTCAGACAGCGTCGGCCGACGCAGCCCGACCCGATTTATCGTCAGGGACAGTCTTAAGCCGTCGTGAGAAATATTAAACATGGTTAATATTCTACTACGCGACTGCCCCCGACGCACACCATCGCGTCTGCGTTCAACTCACACAGACCCGACGCGACAACAAATCGCGTCGGGCTGCGTCGGCCGACGCTGTCTGAGTTGGCCTTAACCTACTAACCTAATACGCAAATATTATGGTCTTCATGCTTAAGCGTTATTAATAATTAAAAACATCATAGGAATTTGGTTTTCCTACAAATAATTGTTTCTTACCGGGGAAAATATTGCGAATAGATCGAATATTGTCATTATGTAATCAAAGCCAATATTCTCAAATAATTTCTTATATTAAAAATAGGCATTCTTATAATCAGCGAAAATTGAGTATTTAGTATTATAAAATTATAATAATTATAATATAGGCCTAAAATAATGGCATTATAACATAGTTCATATCGGTCAATGACAAGACAGTAAACATTTAAAATATTACAAGCAAAGTGAATAATTAGTTTTGAAAGATAAGTAAATAGGCCTACCTGTAGGTGAAAGAGCATAAAAGTTACTAAGGATATATCCTGTTCGGTGTTTTTTCAGAGCTACTTAAAGGTATTACACTGGTCTGTGCCTTATGCATAGCTAAGATGCTAGTAATTACTTCACCCGTGAGAAACAATCCTAAAAGTAAACGTTTATGTCAATATCAGTGATGAGTTGATACTGTATTTTGCAATTCGTAACACAGAACATCCAGAACTTGTCATTCCATGATAGGCCGCAATTTACTATGTAGTATCCGGTACACATGAACACGTTCAATAACCACTGAATACACTTATGTCATTAATATGTACGTGTGATCGCGTGAGATTAGGTAGTTTTCACCGCACGACGTTAACTTTACCTTTAACGGTAGTACCCAGCATGCAGCGCGATTGCTCCGCCCCTCTTTAAATAAATCGAAATACGCATGCGGAACCAGTAATAACTAATGTACGTTGAGCACGTAAAATCTTGAATTTAACGTACTCAGCAAAGCAAGATAATTAAATTATGACGTCATCCGTCAACTTTAAGGTCAAGGTCGTGCGGCGAAAAGCCTCATATATTATTTACAGAGCAGTAAATAATGCAGGTAGATCATGTGATAAATTGCTTTAAAATATTGATATAAATATTTTTTTCCCTGTTTTTGTTAGGTTTTTGAAATATACAAATTATATTTTCAGATATCTGTCCTTATCACGTGAAAAAAGAAAGAGAAAGGCACTTTAATACGTCCGATTCAATCACAATAAGAATTTTCATTTGACGAATATATGGGAATAGGCAAGTTATGTGCAATATACACTATTATAAACTGAATGTCTTTCTTAAGTTCATCGATCGAGATGTAAAAAATCGTTTTTCTCTTCTTTCTTTATTTTAAAAAAGTTCACAAAAGAATGTATTATAAAACCCAATTGTTTATATTGTTATAATTATTATTTTTGTGATTGTTAATGTTGTTATTATTAGGTATGTTATTATTTCAGTTTCATGGCTGATTGTAGTATAAAGTTAGTATCTCGATGATGTGCCTTATGGTTAAAATTGCAATCACTGTATTCATAGTGAAGTGTCTATCTTTTCAGTATGACAACAATTGAGTAAATCATTTGACGTGCTTTTGGTCCAAAAATAGATAGGCCTATGATATACTTCCAAAATTATTGCAAAAAAAATAAAATAAAATAAAATAAAATAATCAAGTTTTTAATTAGGATACGTTATTGTTATTCATTTGATCGTGCTTACTGTTCTTGTATAAACTGTTTAAATCAATCTTTTCGTTTTTACAAATGTAAATTTGCAAAATAGTATCTCTACATTTTAAGTATTAATACAAGCGAGAGGTTTGCGCAGAGGTGGTGGTCTTGGCTATTCTTATAATATTATGGTCGAGGCCAATCATGCAAAATAGTATCCCTTATTTAGAAATAGTGCCTTATTTAGAAATAACTTTGGCCGTATGCAATGTGAAATAATGCCTAGAAATCCGGGAATAACTTCTTCATGATTTCACGTCTATACATCTGCGCATTGTTTCGCGTAATTGGAGTGCGACGGGTCTGTGTGTATAAAATTGTCTTAAAATATACACGTTATGAATAACGCAAATTTCTTTCCATTTAAGTACTGTATAATACTGTATTCAACATTTTATCATTTTTCCCATAATGACTGTCCTTCCACATAGTTTTATTTTATTAAAAACGATATGTAGTTGAAAGTCATGGTATTATAAGTGCGCATGCTTAATCGGACGTGCCTTTCTATAGAATGCCTAATGCACTGAGATCCTTGTAAGGCCATGGTATTCACTTATCCTCTCTATTACAGTATAAATAATTATTTTATTCTAGAAATAATAAAACCATATATAAAATGAATTTGTCTATCTAGGTATATGTTTTTCTTCTATTTTTTTTTCACACTTCTTGTCTTGATATTATTCGTTTATCAATTAAGAACATGTATTGTACACCAAAATAATGTTGCATTATGCACAAAAAAAAAAACATTTATTAATTTTAATATATATTTATAATGAACTATAGAATAACTACTTTAATAGAAAAAAAAACAAGTGTAGTAAATGCGAAAAAAATAACATGACAAAGCAGTGATTGGAGATTTGTATAAAAGTTTTACTTCACCGTCGACCAAGCCCACGTTTTCGCATGATTTTCATAATTCGCTTAGGCCAAAATTATTGAGCGAACCTCACGACTACATATGGATGATGAGCAAGGTAGGCAAATGTCGGTGGGTGCAGAGAAAAATCTAGATGCAACAGCTTCTGATATTTAGCCTGACTGTACCTAATCCATCAGTATTTATGTTTCTTTGATTTTCTAGTTTAGGTCGTCAGGTGCTGTTTTCAGAATTGTTTGAGTACGTAGGCCTACATCAATACATGGGCTCGTTGAGAGTCTTAATTGCGTTGTGCCTATTGAGTCTGTATTCGTCAGAGCCGCACTAGCCCCAAAGCTTCGCGTTTGTTCGTTGTCGCAATTTCTTGACTTCCTTAAATTGAATTTACTCAAGTGTGTATTTTCTTCAAAACTGAAATTCTTAATCTGTTCTGTAAAAGCAATCTGATTTCCCCGTGCTGGACATCTATCGTCTTCAGAGTCTTCTTCATTAGATAGACTGTTATTAGAGGACATTCCATTAGATAGACTGTTCTGTTTGTACTCAGAAAGTGAATATTCAGTTGGATTTGAATGAGCAGCATCTGCGCTTCCCCACTGTGGTTCGTTTTTAATAAAATTTTGTCGAAAAGCAACATGGCACACTATAGTTTTTAATGTATTTTCGTTCAAAATTCTGATTTGTTTAGGCCTATGAGTGATCTGTTTTTCCAATAATGAACGCCTAATTTTACAAGGGTCATATTCGTATTTTTCGGCGAGCATAGAGAATAACAATCGTTTGATTTCCCGGTCACCATTAATAACTGCGTCATGCAAGTATTCAGAGATTTTAAATTCCGGTGGTATTTTGTCGAGTCTTAGCGATAGCAAATCTCTTGGAAGCGGTTGTTCCCTCTTTCGAAACACTTTCCTAATATTTTGCCTAATAGGCCTAATATGTCTATAACTAGGTGACGGTGTATTATGGTAAGTCTCATTTTTTAAATGAACACATTTTAAAGACTCCGGTGATTTTAGTTTGTTGTCTGCTAGGTGTCTAGGATTGTTGAGTCCAGGTGACGGAATATATCGCGGAGGATGACTAGAAGCAAATGGTAAAATGATTCTCTTATCCATCGTTGTAATGTATAAAGTGCCATCATCTTGAATAAATTTAGAACCGTTGAGGTTCTTTTTGTCGCATGTTTTATCTGGACTTAATTGCACACTATCATGCTCTTCTTTGCAATATGTTGTTTCTCTGGTATGTTTGAAAACCGAACTAGGTCTAGAGACGCTGTCGTCTGCCACTGGTAATGTTAGCAAAAGTTCATCAAAAGTTGTTAAATCATCCGAAAGTATTTTGTCAATGAACCAACCCTCCAGAAAAGCTCCAGGTCTGCGCAAGAGAGGTCTTATAGCCATTTCTATCTATAACGGTAAACTACAAGAATAGAAAAGTTGACTTCTTGTTACGGGGAAACAGTTATGGGTAGAGTAATAAAGATTTTAATGAAACAAATGATAGTGTGATAAGAATGAGCAGTGTGATAGCAAAGAAGATTAGGCCTAAGCCTATGTGATGTTGACAACGACAATACGATGATGGCAATAATAAAATAAGAATGAAGATGGTGAGGTGCCTTAGTATGTGAGGTGCAGCGCTTCGTATACTATCTGCAAAGAAAGGCACTTTATAAATGACCTGATTGGATTGGTGATGACGATGATAAAAAAAAAAAAACATCAAAATAAATGCAAATTTAATTATTTGATACAAAAAATAAACGTTGGTACCTATTGTTGAACACACGGCCAGTCGATCCACAAAAAGAAAGTTGCCTGGAAGCACAGTTTGTTGACGTCTGCTGATTTTCTACTTTGAGATTAATGTTCCAACAGTTCGAAACGCATAGAGAATGCTTGGTAATTGCGCTCGCGTGTATTTTAAACGAATCGTCGTCATCGGTTGTTACGCGCGCATATGAACTCTTGTCTGAGTAGAAACAAAGATACTAGAAATACAAGATAGAGTTCTCGCATTGTAAAAATGAGGCGGAAGTCGTGCCCAACGTAGGCGGCGCCCTTCTTTTTAATCATGCAAGTTTACTATACTTCGTGCCCAACGTACAGGGCGCCCTGCTGTTGCTAAGTATATCCAGACGCAAAAGGCGCCCTTCCTTTTCCACTAATGGAGGAAATCTTTTTCACTAAGAGTGCGTCCGGCCATGCGATTCTGCGCTGTATTGTTGTTTTATTCTTTACTGATT